TACTACAATGGTGTATATGAGTTGACAGTAATAGCGATCACAGATTTATGTTTGTAAACTGGATGTCCAGTGTGCTCTTATTATAATTTTGCGTAATGAAGAACGAAAATACTACGAATCTTCGAATCTCAATAAATCTGAAATTCACTTAACTGAATGCTATGCATCTGATTAAAGCCTAAAGTCCCTTACATACAGCTCAGAATTATTTTTCTGGTAAGCGTTTTTTTAGCGAGTTAGTTTTCTGCAGGATGGGGACGCTAACCCCATGACCAACGCTCCTCATTTACCCGGGCTAGTAACCGGCAGTAACTCTAGAAGAGGTGCAGGCGGAGTTACAGCTCGGCACCGATGATAAAACATTTGATTACAGCATGGAAACTTTGGGTGGTAATATAGGTTTAATGTAGTCATAGAAAGGGAGAGCACAATCATCGTCATCTGAGACTACATATAGTTAATCAATTTTATAGTTACTCTGAGTATTAGATTGACGGCGAAGTCGTGCTTCATATGGAAAATTGGTGATATAATTGATTATACAAGCGATGCAGTTCAACCTTGTCCTACTGCGAGGCTTCCAAAACAATGCGTTCTGTCACAAAAACTAACAATAATAACAATGATATATTTCTACATGAGCAGGTACACGTCATTTTACAGGCATGATCTATAAATTACAGCATCTTTTGGCTCACAGCATCCTTCCCAACTTACTAGGTTTATAGTTGTTCTTAAGCAGACTCGTAGAGTGCTTGTAGTAAACCATGACCTTGGAGAGGCGCGTACGTCAAGTTTGTTCCAGACGTCAAATGTTCCATAGCTGTGCCCTCAGAGCAAGATTCTGAACAAAAAATAAGAGAAACAGAAGAGTAGCAAGGCACTTGGATATGAAAGCCAAATGTTGCTTAATATTTTGTAGTAGAACAGAGAGAGGTATAATAAATTAGATTAAATTCATATTATCTATTGTTAGAGTGAAATGAAGTCAGAGGCTCCATATAAGAGAATGTAGTTATAAATAACAATGAGTTATGATGTTTAACAAGTTGGAGTAAGCTCACATGAAGGAAGGGAAGTCAAGGTTGGTACAAGGAAAGCGGTTTATTAGAAGAGAGTGTGAATACAGGGAGTGAAGTGTTAAGATTACTAATAACTATACCTTTTGTTGTCTAATTTTTTCTTTCTTTTCCTTATTGTCCATCCGATGCCAGCCAAACAATTCTAGTGTCAAAGTCCGAGTTGGCATGTTATAGGTTGTCTTAGTATAATAGCAGATCTAGAATAAAATTGGAACCATGAGTCTGAGTGATGAGCGTATGAAGACAATCTATATCACAGATTGACTGACTTATTCTCAATCATAAAGAGCCTGATACATACAACTACATAAAATTTGTTTTTTATCGAGAATTCATTTTACTGGTAATACAGCCATTACGCCTTTTAATCCAGTAACGTGCCTTTGAAAGGATTATAAGGGGTGTTTCAACTGAAAGAAAACAAAGTTTTAGTGACTAACTAGGTGTTTACTTCCAACGATTAAAAACAACCGCGATAACACCAAGATCTCACAGAGACACCAGAGTATGACTTGTAATCCACAATACCAGGAAGGATAGAGACTGTTATTTGAAAATAAATTATCGCAATGATGAAACAAAGGTTCACTCGCGGTGACTTATAATGAAAAACTAAGTAGTTTTGATATAAAAACACGGCATTTTCCTCACAACATTTCAAATATCTATATAATATCAAACTGCTTTTAGTCTTTTAGGACTCAATTCGTATAGTCATTCATCTATTTGTTGCCAGAATTTCGGGTTGTTTCCTCTGGTTGGTTCGCGAAACGATCCTTTAAAACCCTAAAATATTCACCAAAAATGACGTGGACTTACCAGACACAAACATCATAAGATGTACCGCTTAACGTTTTCTTTTCCGTCTTCTTTTTCAGCATCGTAGTCATGCACCATTAAATACACGCCTATGAGCATACGACTAATTAATACCTCTGATATATTAGACAGACCTATAGCATATTATGTCTTCTGTAGAATTACAACAAGGATACCGAGTAATTTGCCACAATCACAATTTTCAACTGGATACCAGAATATTTTTCCACTTTGAATAGTTGCGGAACTCGTTTGGTTTATTTATCGACATCCAGTTTTCGTCGTAATGCAGCTGCTGTGAAACGCGCCAACTGTTAGATTATCCATTCTAGTTTTGCTACCGCTAATCATACTCCTATACAGTTAACTTTATTACCTCGTTTCCATGACTACTGTTTCTTGCAACATATCGGTCAAACTGAACAACTCATTACAGTAAGTCTTGTGACGATTTGAACATAACTGTCTTGTCGGCAAACTGGTGTAATATGTTACTTGAGAATAAATTATTATTGTTATATAGTTATATAATATACCCTTGTGGGCCAGGGTAATTTTAGATTGGTTTTTAGAAGAACCAGGCACCATCCGGGCTTTCACGTGAAAACCAAAACAGTGCAGCTGAACCCCGTTTATCAGGGGAACCAGACATCGTATAGGCTTTAACGCTACAATCTGAATAGTACAGCTCAATCCTGTGGCGCAACCACACAGATACCAAGCACCCTGATGGACCAAAATTATTATTGTATACATTTTTATTACGGAATCGGATACGCAGTAGTTGAAAATGCTACTGTCTAGATCTTTTCAGTCAGTCATACTCAACATAGAGTCTGAAACTAACAGTGGCACTGAGATCAATAGTTATTGAAGTCAATGCTGACATGATCTCATAATATACTTGAATTACAGGTTAAGGCTATGAAGTACATGATTTCTAAGCCACCTGGATCTTTAGACATACACTACACGAGGTCCACAAACATGATATAATGCGGACACCTGATCGGTTGCACTGAGCTGAAAGTGCATTCAGTAGGACTAAAATAACCATTGTCATTGTCCAAGACATGTACAGCTATTCATTTGATCGATTATTTATTGCTTTAGTCTACAAAATACGATACAATGTAAGTCTTACAAGAAAAATCCAGGTGTAACACACAAACCTTACAAACAAAGTGTTGAGTACTGCAAAGATCAAGATTTTAAATGGAAAATTTATTGTAATAGACCCACTAAGATGATCAGTTTACTCACTAAAAATATAGGAAAATGACCAGACTTTTCAGCTCCAACAAAAGCCTTTCGTCTGTTGTTCTCGTTTACTTATAGTGAAGAAAGTGAAGGTCTCGTATTGTTGCTAGATTTGATCTAAGCTGAAGCGAAGCTAAGAGCTCTTTAAATAGAACAGAATTAATTGAAAGTGCTATCAGAACACCTAAGTTAGGATGGTTGGAGGATAAACAATGAATGAAAAAGTGATTGTTAGGAGGAACAGTGTATATAAATGGATCCAGTGACAGACGAACTTGGGACTAGGAAGCTGACTAAAATCAGGTGAAGCATTCAACATGAGGTGCAGTGAGACCTAGCTACTATGCTAAACGACCATGAAAACCCGTTGAAACACTTGCTGTTTTCATTGCTGAGTGAATTTCTTACTCTTCAGAAGCCTTCTTTATGAAGCGTCTCAAATCACCAAACCTTTAACCATTAGAGTATAGGAGGTTTAGAGGTGACCTAATGGCTTACAGTATCCTCAACACTTCTGGACATCACCTTAAACACCCACTTAAGTTAAGCCCCAACACAAACCTGAGGGGTAACACTCAGAAGCTAGCGACATGTAGTGTGGCGTCGAGTTGCGTTTGACCATGATCACCACTACAGGAAGACTACGTGCTAGTTAACCGATAAGATCCCCCGTAGGCCAAATATCAGAACGCAGTTGATGGCTGTAGTCGAGACGTATTTGTCGGAGATCTCGTGGTATCGAAAGAATACCGAGATCGTGCCAAAGGAGTACAAGTGGAACTGTTAAGCAAACGTAAGTTCGTTCAAGGTCACAATCACCGGAAGACTGTTTGTATTTTGGTACAGTTAAACAAATAAGTAAGGTAAAACAATCCTGTTATGACATTAAGTCCGGCTTTTATCACGTGGTTTACCCACCAATCAAAATACGACTTATACTATCTTCGCACTGTGTCAAAACCAATGACGTTTGACTGGTACGGGCAGTCTAGCGTCCTTATTGATTCTATGTCCATCTAGCCCGTCCATTTGAATCCACAACACCAAATACCAGTTTCCAATATGCAAATCGAATCGAATCACTTATTTCAGACATACTGGGTTTATATATCAACCAAACAGACCGCAGCGCACCATAAAATAGGAAATAACATTTGTACACAATACAGCCAAAAAGTGACTGTGAACATGGGAGGCAGTAGTCAATAAACTGAACATAGCTTAAGAACCGCAAGTCGTACAATAATAAATTATAGGTAAAAAAGAGCTTATGATAAGAGGAATATAAATATACGTAATCTAATTATTGAACAGTTATACCATAAAAATGTATAGATAATATTAGTCAATTAATATGTCTCAAAAGTTCCTCGTGATTTATTCTTCGCTCGGATATAACAAATCTTTGGTGCAATTGGTTATATTAATAATTGTTTCCATTACACCAATCGCGTTCTCCTGCTAAAAGTAGGTCACTACAGACACAACACAGCAGAACGGACTGTAGACACAACTTCTACTCCTTAAGAGTGGTCATATGCTGGAACTCTCTACCGGCTGAGCTAGTCCACGAGACTTCCCAGGAGTCCTTTAAGAGGAAACTTGACATATTATTAAGGACTAAGGATAGTATCTTAATATGATTTACCGATTTCTTTTTTCCTCTAATATCGTTAAAATACCTAGATTCCTGACTGGAGGTATTGGTGAGTCACTGCTACTAGACACGGAAGCCCATTAAGCAAAAGCTTCTACTGTTCCCTCCACAACCATTCGAACCATTTGAAACTCTTGAATCACTCGAGTAGTGGCGGGTCATTTAACGTTTTTGCGCAAATTATGGACGCACATCGTAGGTCTTTGAAGTGGTTTGCAGGCCAGTCAAACAAACTAAAGGTATCGAATTGTCAAAATAGATATAAGTATGTCAGAGTCAATTCATCATTGTCCTGGCGCCCGTTATCCAGCTCTCTTAAGTGGGATAAATACACGTGTTCTAGCTTAACTAGTGCACATGTATTTAAACACAGTCCCTCTAGTATTTATTCTAGATTTAACGGGAATCAGACATACAACACAAAGATTGGCAAAGATAGACCCTACAATTATATTAGGAAAAGCGATCACAGGAACGGTAATCAACAATTTTCGACCCCCGTTCCTGACTTCTCACAGCATCAGGATAAATTATTTAGTAGTGAAATTTCTAGTGGTGTGATAAGTCGGGTTCGGGAAAATAATGTTCGTTTGCCACCTAGTAGTACCAATGTATTGTATACTAAAACAAGTCGGTTTAGGTATGTCAAGCCTGGTAGTTCAGCTAGTTCGGGGCTTGCATCTAAAAATAACTCACAGCTTGTCACGAAGTTTTCCATTAAGAAAATGAACCGGCACAATATACCTCGTCCATCTGCATATCAGTACAAGTATGTCTGCTATTCGTATTGATAATACTTCAGGAAAATTGTCCAGAAGGCTGTGCACAGTTTGAAGTTCCGTCGCCGTATGGTTTGTCAAAGTTACTGCAGGACTGGATTTTGCTCTGCGCAGCAGTGCTCTTACTCTCATGATGAAAATTATCTACGTATCTGCCCAAGGTAGGTTGCACTTCGTTAATTCTATTGGTCCATGTTTTAGCTTGTAAATGAAAGCTGACTGAGTAGTATTTTAGGGACAAGTTTGGCGAAGTCACAATATAGTTCTTATTGTGTGTTAGTAATAATGGTTCTTATTGTGCCCATGAACTACTTCACAGCAGAGCTTTAAAACCATATCGAGTTAAGGGATGGGACAGGTTGGAAAGTTATTGACTAGCGAGTCGATAAACTTGGTACTTAGAGACCACTAAGGTATTGATGTTCATTTTTGGAAAACTGACTTTCAGTATAGTTTCTCATCGCTTTAAATATTTGTCAGAATTTAATGATTTAGTAATTCTGTAATTAAAATCTGAAGAGAACTTTATAAGTGAAACGAAGTAACATTCCTACTTATTTTTGTTATAGATGTGTTGATAGAACTGGCTTTATTTGTTAATGGGACGATTTTAGGCGACTTAATGCATGGACATCATGGTTATATTAAATGGAGATTAGTGTATTTGCTATCTAAATAGGGATGTGAATATCTACATAAGTTTAGTATCTGAATTGTGCATAGTATCAACAATAATGTTTCCTACCACCTGCAGCAGAAATATTCTAAATTTTGCGATTGAAATAATTCATGCCGAGCATAAAGTAATCAGAGTTAGTTCACTGCGCTAAAATTCTATTTATCTCAATCGATGGGTGCGAGATCTTGCTTCTAAGAATAGTAGACAAAGATTCATGCCAAGTGGGACTGGAGTTAGATTGTACAGTCAGTCAGTCAGCTACAACGTAGGACCAGGCACATATATGCATCGGTCCAAGTTGCCATACCTCATTAACACAACAAGATGGACACCGGATTCATAAATGTAGTTAATTCAGAGGTGGTAACATATAAAAAAAAGATTGCAATAAGGATATTGTACAAAAAGAAAGAATTGGTTCGTAGAAGGAAAGATATGAAGCAATTTTAATCGCTTAGTTTGAGGGAAGATAGAGAGTCTATACACCGACGCCATTGTGATCGATTCTGAGCCATGTCACCAAGAGTCTCCAACCACTGGTTACGATAGTCACGCGGACCCCGACCAAGTAGTCTGCATCTACCAACATCGCTCAGACTACAAGTTAGTGACTTCAAGCACTGATGCCACGTTTTGGTTTGGCCGCCCCTAACTTTCTTCCAACCATCTCTAACACTGGTTAGCATTGCACGACGTGGTAGTCGGTGTTCAGGCATACGTAACACGTGGCCCAACCATCTCAGTCGATGATGATTCACAACCTCATCGACTAATTTACCATCATTCCCTAATACCCTGCGTTTAACCTCACTATTACTTACCCGGTGATCCCAGCAGATGCCAGCAATATTTCTGAGGCATCTGTGGTCGAATACTAGTAGCTTACGAGTGTCTTCTACTCTTAAAGGCAATGTTTCGCTGACGTAAAGTAAAACAGAACGGACTGCCGCGCAGTACACTCGTCCTTTTATTGATAGACGGATATCTCGCCTTCGCCATAGGTGACGTAAGTTGGCAAAAGCCAAACGGGCTTTTCGAATCCGTGCTGAGATTTCGTCAGACGCCAACCCATTAGGGCTGATCAGACTTCCAAGATAAGTGAAGTTGTCAACGCGTTCGACTACTTCACTCCCTATCCTTAGTTCAGGTGTTGATGCAGACCAGTCCTGAAGCAACAACTTGCATTTCGAGGGAGAGAAGCGCATTTCAAACATTTTGGCATTGTTGCTCAGTGCTACCAAAAGACTCTGCATTTTATCAGCGTCTTCACCAAACAGGACTATGTCATCTGCGTATTCTAAGTCGATAAGTGGACCTCCTGGTAGGAGATCAATACCCGAGAACTCAGTCGACGAGAAAGTTATTTCCATCAGTAGATCTATGATGAAGTTAAACAAAAATGGGGAAAGTGGACAGCCTTGACGGACACCACTTGAGGTTGCAAAAGTAGATGACAGTTCGCCATAAGCTCTGATTCGACTAGTAGTGTTCGAGTAAAGAGCCTTCACAAGGCTTATGTACTTCTGAGGTACCCCTTTCAATGACAGACACTGCCACAGAATCTCGCGGTCTACCGAGTCAAATGCTGCTTTTAAGTCGAGAAAGACCACCATTGTCGGACGTCGATAAGTATGCCTGTGTTCTAGAATCTGACGAATGGTGAATATGTGGTCGATGCAGCCACGACCAGGTCTGAAGCCAGCTTGAGTCTCTCGTGTTTGCAGTTCACGAGTCTTAGTTAGGCGTCTGATAATTATCGAAGCTAGTATTTTAGATATTATATTAGTTAAACTAGTCCCTCTATGGTTGTCACAGGATGATTTTGACCCTTTCTTATATATTTGGACGATAAGTGATTGTGACCAGTCAGATGGGATTACGTCTAACTCCCAGATTTTATCCAAAATATTAGTCAACCTAGTCGCCAAAATTGGACCACCATCCTTAAAGACCTCTAGAGCCAATCCATCTGGACCAGCTGCCTTTCCTCGTTTCAGATTAACTATAGCCTTTTGAACTTCAGCTAGAGTTGGGGGACCTACTTCAATGTTCATTCACACTGTCTGGGAATGGAGGGTAGTTGTAGAGTAGCTGAAGGCCAGCTGAACTGTTCTCAGGAGTGTTCTGCCCATCGTTCTAAACGTCTGGACTGAGAGCAGATGAGGGTGTCGTCCTTTTCAGAAATATTAAAGATTCCCATTGTGAAAATTAGAACAACACATATAAGCAAACAATTGTTTTCAATTAGATCGTCATCAGGCTTTACTCTAATATACATGAATATTTATACGACAATTTTAAACCAATCAAGGCAATATGGGTCAATAATCACTATGACATAGAATAAGTCACTACACATAATAGGTAAAAGTACAAGTTGATAGTAGTAGGAAGACAGGTGAACTGATAATAGTGAGAATAATAAAATACAATAACAAAACTCTTATCAATAGTTAATCGTTGGAAATAGAAGGTCAAACAAACATGGGTAAATAGACTAGGAATAGTAATCACAAAACATTAAAATCATTACGTAATAAGATGTGTGTAAATAATTAGATAGTGAAGAATACAAAGAGGCGGAAAATTACAAACAAATAATGGATGTGGAAATAAGGTTAACGATAACACAGATAGAATAAAATAAATAATGATAATAATAAAATTTAAAATAAAAATAATAATAATGCAAATAAATAAATAAATAAATTGTTAGTTAAGTTATAACTGGCCATGGAAGGGATAGAGGAGTCACGTATTTCTTCTGTGCACATAAATTGGGGTTATATGTACGAATTCCAATGGCTTCAGCTATATATAGGAGACGGGAACGGACTCCGTCGGGAAATGATGGAGGTATACGATAGATAACTCGAAATGATTTCGATTTATCTACTGCATGACCGCTATCAATAAGATGTGCCAATATAGAACTGCGAATAGTTTTTCTCTGGCCCTTTATGTACCAAGTTGGTAGATATTCACTCATTCGTTGGTTAAGTTGCCTGGTAGTACGCCCTATATAGCTATCTCCACAGGAGCAGCTAAATTTGTAAATGCAGTAGGTAAATCAAAATCATTTCGAGTTATCTATCGTATACCTCCATCATTTCCCGACGGAGTCCGTTCCCGTCTCCTATATATAGCTGAAGCCATTGGAATTCGTACATATAACCCCAATTTATGTGCACAGAAGAAATACGTGACTCCTCTATCCCTTCCATGGCCAGTTATAACTTAACTAACAATTTATTTATTTATTTATTTGCATTATTATTATTTTTATTTTAAATTTTATTATTATCATTATTTATTTTATTCTATCTGTGTTATCGTTAACCTTATTTCCACATCCATTATTTGTTTGTAATTTTCCGCCTCTTTGTATTCTTCACTATCTAATTATTTACACACATCTTATTACGTAATGATTTTAATGTTTTGTGATTACTATTCCTAGTCTATTTACCCATGTTTGTTTGACCTTCTATTTCCAACGATTAACTATTGATAAGAGTTTTGTTATTGTATTTTATTATTCTCACTATTATCAGTTCACCTGTCTTCCTACTACTATCAACTTGTACTTTTACCTATTATGTGTAGTGACTTATTCTATGTCATAGTGATTATTTTCCGAAATAGCCTCACTTACACTTGACTTATTAATTCCAGCTTCTTTTATTAGTCTGTAAAGCCGTCTTGTGTTCCCTATAGTCGCCGCCTTTTCCATCTCTTTTGCTTTCATTGCCCACCACTGCTCACGGTCGTTCCTTAGACTTTTGGTTAAACTAGATCTGATTTGTTGTCGCTCTTCATCGTGTTCAGAGCCTGATGGAATGAGTTTACGAGAATCCATCAGTGTAATAGACCTAAAGGAAATCCATTGGTTCTTTGTAACCCTGTGGTTTAAATCACTGATAGATGTCACTGCTGTTTCCACAGCTGTTTGTATAGCTTTCCAAGCAACATCTGGGTCAACCTCGTTTTCAGAACTACCTAAGTGTGACCTCAGTTGTTCCTGGAACCTACTTTTGGTTTTCTCGCTACTCAATTCAGTTCTAATGGGTCTTTTTACCGAGGCTTTTTTGTGTCCAGTGAGGCGCAAGCAGATGCGTGCCCGTATTAGGGCGTGGTCGGAGTCCAAGCAGGTATTCCAGAATGAGCGACAATCTTCTACCGACCCTCTCCAACGATGACTGATGGCAATATGGTCTATTTGAGTCCATCGTTGGTTTGGTGTAGGGGGTCGCCATGTTAGACGATGTCTCTCCTTATGTTTAAAATTAGTGTTTGCTAAAAATAAACGATTGTCTGAGCACAGTTGCAGCAGACGACCACCATTATCTGTTCGCTGAGCCGGAATACTGAAATACCCACCTAAATGCCTTTCTGTTTGGTTTAAGCTACCTATCTGGGCATTAAAGTCACCTGCTACGAGTACTATGTATGAACGTTTAGCTTTCTGAAGAAGTTCAGATAGCTTTCTGTAAAATTCATCTTTCACTTCATCTAAACTGCAGTCAGTGGGAGCGTAGGCAGAAACGACGAAAAGGCAACGACGTGTCTCCCTATCCTTCCGATTTCTTACGGAGCCGTTTAGCCGAACAGCACATAAACGACTGTTAACGGGGATCCACTCTAGCAGTGCTTGTTCCGACCTCATGCTTAGTGCTATGCCTACACCAGCCAGTCCACGAGAACTGGCCATCGGGTCACCAGATACACGGAGGGTGTATCTCGTTGGCTCTACGTTTTGCCGAGGTGAGGTCAAGTGAATGGCCACACTGGAATCCTGTATGCGTGTTTCGAAGACACAGCATACATCAATGGAAAGAGACTCTAGGGTTTCAGCCAAGGAAGCCTGCTGACCGATTTGACATAGATTGCGTACACTGAAGGCTCCAATGTGTAGTTTGGAGCGAGGTTTCAGTAGACCTGGAACAGTGTTTTGAGCACTAGAATCGTTGGCTATGGTGACACTTGAGGAGGAAGCCGAAAGAGGAAGTTTAGAGGTGAAAGTCGACTTAGGAGGAATAATAGAAAGTGAAGACGGAGGTTGATTAGGAATACAGTGGTCTTGAGTGTTGTTAGAGGTATGAGGGCGGTTATCACTTCCCGGTTGCCCACACTGTGGAAGGGTTGTTCTGGAGGTACCTGAAAAGGAAATTGGATTAGAGGTGGTCTCAGTGACCTGAGAGCGTGACCGCAGTGCCCAAGGGATAACTGCTTGAGGCCGGTCGCGCACGGCCTTTTTATGGGTAATTTTTGGGACGTTACCGCCGGAGACGGATATCCGTGGGATAAGGCGAGGTGTGCATTTTTAGGGTCGACCTTTTCTAATCCCACCCCTCCTTGTGGGAAGGCAGCATCGCTGTCATGCTGGTTGTCTGAAGGAAACACCTTACTGCTGTCACACCTCTGTACAGTCAGCAGTACGACTTCCGACCTTGGGTTTGTTGCTTCTAGTCTTACCGCTCTTCAACCGACCTGTCTGACATGGTAGGACCTTGAGGAACGGTTGTTCCAGCCAGTATAGCTCGGTTGCTTCATCACGATAGGCAAGCCCGACCACCACGTCAAGGTAGCAACAACGGTCGGGAGTTAGATTGTACAGAAATTGCAAAACCAAATATCTTAGTTTCTCATTTGACATAGGTTTAGTTAAAAGATGAGGAGAAAATATATTAGTCTACGTTATTCGAAATAGGTTGGGCAAATGTATCCGTGCCATTGTAATAGATTTTCAGCCGTGTTAATATTCAGTGACTAAATGTGTGCTAATTAGAGGTATTCCTTACATTAACGATGACTATATCACGTTGAATGCACTGATTTCTGTCCGATCACTAAGGTTAAGGAGCTGTATCTGAGTTTTTAATGCGTCCGACTGGTTCGAACTCCGTCCCAACTATTTCGGCATATTCAACTGGGTAGCATCATCATTCCTGTGTGTCTCAGAATCAAGTTTCCGAATCCGCACCTATTTGATGAGTTAATAATAGAAACTTAAGATGCTGACCAAGCAAAGATTTTGGTCGAATGAAATGGTAACTGTCATACAGCATTAGCTTATGTGGCTATATAAAATGTTTAGAGTCATTAGTTGAAAATCTTAACGTACATTACTGAAATTATTAACAACGATGAGGATGCTTTTACGTCAGATATTTTACGTACTACTTTCATCTGAGTGTATCTGAGTCATGGGTGTTGATCTGGGTATTACTACTCAAAAAAATTGGCGAAATAGGTTTTTTATTTGATGAGTTACTTTGCAGCACCAACTTTTTCTAGTCACACTTTTTGTTTGTTCCAGGAGTCTCCTACCAAAAATTATTTGATAGTTTAGTTTATGACCTAAAGTTTGGGATATGAGGTTAGTTCGTAAAGTTGCAATGTGTTATGGTACATAATTTTATTAAGATAAAACCCATTAACGTCTCACGACTTCTCGGATAGTGACTGCTCTATTCTAAACTTATACCAGAAGTACACCAGAATAAAAATTACTCCCTAGTTTCTTTGAGTTGTTCTTTTTCAACCATCTATATAGTCATTCATTTCTATTTCCATCACATCATCCTCGTCCACACAGCACATCACGATATCCCATTCTCAATAAGTTTTTCAAACTAAAGTGAGGGCTTGCGTTGCTGTCGAAACGTTTTAAGTATTCCTTTTGTAATTTTAGTACTATTTTATTATTGGTATCTAAAACGTACTTTATTGCCTAAGCAACTTTTTCGTCCTACAGGTTTTTACAACAAAGCTGTTCTCTGGGAAGCGAGTCTTGTCCACTTGCTCATGTGTTAGATCCGTGTAGACTGCCACAATGTACTTATTATGAATCCGGAAAGTGCGGACGCCTTCACTGTCCTTATTTGCATGTAAGGCACCCTCCAAAGACAGCTGTATGTTCAGATTTCTCTCGTGGTCGTTGCCCGCTAGGTCGCTTGGTATGTTCATTTTCCAGTAAAGCAGAAACATCAATCTTAACAGACTAATATGAATTTATGTATTTCGTATATTGTATTCAGCTACTTACATCTTCGAAGCAATAATATTACTTACTGAAAAAATGCATCTGTGTTGACATTGCATTAACAAATTTAGGTCGCTGGAAACAAAAGCGGAGTGAATGGAGTTGTTCATGCCTTGAACTGTTTGTAGGTACTGTATAGTGAAGTTATTCCCATTTAGGCATTAAAAACACAAAGTTTGACGAAGGTATCTCTGTCCAACGAATTTACTATCAAGCTATACAATCGTACATATATATACCACCTGATGCCTTTTCCGTCCTGGAGGAAACTGTCATAATTTGTTCCATATAGCCGACTTCACATGGTTCGTAAAATAGTTCGTTTTGAACATCGAAACAAGCTTTTTCTACAGATATTGTTATAAAAGACTTCTTGGTTGATTTTTGTCGTACTTCCGAGAAGTGTAAATGGAGCGTTGGAGCTATGTTCTCCTACCTTTGCTTTGTCGAAATGTTCACGCCAAAACAATAATTGTTTCAAAGTCGAATGAGTCTGTCACGACGTGAAAATTGGAAGTATTCATTTTCACCTGCTTGACAAGAGCCCACCATTATTTACAATTATGAGAGCAAACTAATTTCATTTTCTTCAGATATTTTACTGTATATTCTTATGTTCCTTTATGACTAACATTACGGTAATAGTAGCTAAAAATACCTCACTGAGTCTTTCTACCAAGTTCAAAAGTGTTTCTCACAATTTATGTATATTTCATTAGACAATATGTTTTTTGTATCGTTTTAGTGTATTAAGCGCCATATATGGGTGCAAAAGTCATTTTCGAACAAGTCTGGTCATCAGAAATTATCCAAATTAACAACTGTTTCTAAAAACGCCTGTAGAACTTTAATTACTAAACTAGAAGATACTTGTGATCATAATGATTTTGGTCCTGTTGCTGCCCCAGCTGGTTCACTACGCAACGTATATCCTCCTCCGGAATTCATTCCTCTGATCTCAGACAATGACGATTCCATGACAGGTGGAGATGCGGATTGTTTATGAACTATTACTACCAAACTTTCGTTTGTTTGCATTTGATAATATACATAATTATGTGATTTTAGTACCTGTACGCAGGTTGTGTAATTCCAGATTCCAGATTATTTTGAAACAGCTTTTCTCATATTTTTTATTAGGTATTTTATGTTTGTACGCATGTGTTCTACTCGCATCTCCATCTCAAGGTCACTCACTAGTGACACAGTATATACTACTGTCATTAAATCTCGTCGTTTTGGAAAGTTTATCAGTTTTTATTAAATGCATTTCTTGCCATTCATCATCATCATAATAATAAAATTTTATTGGTATAATCAAGATGTATATGGTTTTTGTAGTAAAATCCATGGTAACATAGACACAAGGGATGAACACGAACAAAACATTATTTAAAGAATAATCTGAACTGATAAATATCAATTCACTCTTTAGTATTTAGAAAAGGAGGAAATGAGTCTTTTGGTGGTTCGGTGTCGAATGGTCAGTATACCCAGTTTTGTTACGTTAAAGTTAGAAGTGTTCAGATTTTGTTGTTAGAAATCGTTGTCTGAACAAATGTATTACGTCTGAAGGGGACAATATAAGAAATGTCATTTTTCGTCATGGTAAGATACAGAAACCGCTGACGGAGTATTCTTATGTGTTTTTACTACCAACCCTACTGTGATAATCATTAAAAACACTTCTGACTGAGCCTATCCATTATGTTGAGAAATAACTGTTATAACTTTTTATCTTACATCAGATAAAATATTTTGTTGTGCTTAAAGAACCTAATTTTTCAATCAAGATATAGATGCACATCGATTAATAAAAGTAACATTAACTTGAGCATTTATCAGTTTTAACAGTAACAGTTGGTTCGTTGAGTCACTTGTGCACAATTTTCCAATCGTGATCAGAAATCATTTTACTTGCCACAGTGCGTAATACCGATCTTAGATTTGCAGCTGTTAGCTATTGTTCAGTGCATTGAGATCCATACATTAGTGATCTCTGGATTCCACTGCTGACCACAAACGAAATATATGGGAGAAAACTAAGTGGTTCAGATTCTACCAGAGTACCCAACATTATTTTTTCGGACTGCGACTGTTCTTTAGGACCGGTATGTTAATTTATTGCTAAGATTTAAAGTACAAACATGAATACTCGGGATTACGTGTAAGTTGCATTGCAGAAACGAATTGAGCATAAAACTCGATGAAACCCAAAATTATTACTACTTCCTGTTTTAATCATTACTCATTAAAAAAGAAAACAGTCCGATAAAATATTCGTGTTTTAGTACGGACAATCGATAAAGTGTAAATACTGAGTCATTCTTACATAGACCTGGAAACCGTGTCCATGACCAAGTGGTGTTAGATATAGTTTGGTCAAAAAACATTAACAATAAAAAGATATTATCAATTATCAGTTTAGGGGTTGCGGAGATTGTTAAGTTTTTGATTATTAGTTGAAGTATCCTTCCCGACCGTTGTTGCTACCTTGACGTGGTGGTCGGGCTTGCCTATCGTGATGAAGCAACCGAGCTATACTGGCTGGAACAACCGTTCCTCAAGGTCCTACCATGTCAGACAGGTCGGTTGAAGAGCGGTAAGACTAGAAGCAACAAACCCAAGGTCGGAAGTCGTACTGCTGACTGTACAGAGGTGTGACAGCAGTAAGGTGTTTCCTTCAGACAACCAGCATGACAGCGATGCTGCCTTCCCACAAGGAGGGGTGGGATTAGAAAAGGTCGACCCTAAAAATGCACACCTCGCCTTATCCCACGGATATCCGTCTCCGGCGGTAACGTCCCAAAAATTACCCATAAAAAGGCCGTGCGCGACCGGCCTCAAGCAGTTATCCCTTGGGCACTGCGGTCACGCTCTCAGGTCACTGAGACCACCTCTAATCCAATTTCCTTTTCAGGTACCTCCAGAACAACCCTTCCACAGTGTGGGCAACCGGGAAGTGATAACCGCCCTCATACCTCTAACAACACTCAAGACCACTGTATTCCTAATCAACCTCCGTCTTCACTTTCTATTATTCCTCCTAAGTCGACTTTCACCTCTAAACTTCCTCTTTCGGCTTCCTCCTCAAGTGTCACCATAGCCAACGATTCTAGTGCTCAAAACACTGTTCCAGGTCTACTGAAACCTCGCTCCAAACTACACATTGGAGCCTTCAGTGTACGCAATCTATGTCAAATCGGTCAGCAGGCTTCCTTGGCTGAAACCCTAGAGTCTCTTTCCATTGATGTATGCTGTGTCTTCGAAACACGCATACAGGATTCCAGTGTGGCCATTCACTTGACCTCACCTCGGCAAAACGTAGAGCCAACGAGATACACCCTCCGTGTATCTGGTGACCCGATGGCCAGTTCTCGTGGACTGGCTGGTGTAGGCATAGCACTAAGCATGAGGTCGGAACAAGCACTGCTAGAGTGGATCCCCGTTAACAGTCGTTTATGTGCTGTTCGGCTAAACGGCTCCGTAAGAAATCGGAAGGATAGGGAGACACGTCGTTGCCTTTTCGTCGTTTCTGCCTACGCTCCCACTGACTGCAGCTTAGATGAAGTGAAAGATGAATTTTACAGAAAGCTATCTGAACTTCTTCAGAAAGCTAAACGTTCATACATAGTACTCGTAGCAGGTGACTTTAATGCCCAGATAGGTAGCTTAAACCAAACAGAAAGGCATTTAGGTGGGTATTTCAGTATTCCGGCTCAGCGAACAGATAATGGTGGTCGTCTGCTGCAACTGTGCTCAGACAATCGTTTATTTTTAGCAAACACTAATTTTAAACATAAGGAGAGACATCGTCTAACATGGCGACCCCCTACACCAAACCAACGATGGACTCAAATAGACCATATTGCCATCAGTCATCGTTGGAGAGGGTCGGTAGAAGATTGTCGCTCATTCTGGAATACCTGCTTGGACTCCGACCACGCCCTAATACGGGCACGCATCTGCTTGCGCCTCACTGGACGCAAAAAAGCCTCGGTAAAAAGACCCATTAGAACTGAATTGAGTAGCGAGAAAACCAAAAGTAGGTTCCAGGAACAACTGAGGTCACACTTAGGTAGTTCTGAAAACGAGGTTGACCCAGATGTTGCTTGGAAAGCTATACAAACAGCTGTGGAAACAGCAGTGACATCTATCAGTGATTTAAACCACAGGGTTACAAAGAACCAATGGATTTCCTTTAGGTCTATTACACTGATGGATTCTCGTAAACTCATTCCATCAGGCTCTGAACACGATGAAGAGCGACAACAAATCAGATCTAGTTTAACCAAAAGTCTAAGGAACGACCGTGAGCAGTGGTGGGCAATGAAAGCAAAAGAGATGGAAAAGGCGGCGACTATAGGGAACACAAGACGGCTTTACAGACTAATAAAAGAAGCTGGAATTAATAAGTCAAGTGTAAGTGAGGCTATTTCGGAAAATAACCACTATGACATAGAATAAGTCACTACACATAATAGGTAAAAGTACAAGTTGATAGTAGTAGGAAGACAGGTGAACTGATAATAGTGAGAATAATAAAATACAATAACAAAACTCTTATCAGTAGTTAATCGTTGGAAATAGAAGGTCAAACAAACATGGGTAAATAGACTAGGAATAGTAATCACAAAACATTAAAATCATTACGTATTAAGATGTGTGTAAATAATTAGATAGTGAAGAATACAAAGAGGCGGAAAATTACAAACAAATAATGGATGTGGAAATAAGGTTAACGATAACACAAATAGAATAAAATAAATAATGATAATAATAAAATTTAAAATAAAAATAATAATAATGCAAATAAATAAATAAATAAATTGTTAGTTAAGTTATAACTGGCCATGGAAGGGATAGAGGAGTCACGTATTTCTTCTGTGCACATAAATTGGGGTTATATGTACGAATTCCAATGGCTTCAGCTATATATAGGAGACGGGAACGGACTCCGTCGGGAAATGATGGAGGTATACGATAGATAACTCGAAATGATTTCGATTTATCTACTGCATGACCGCTATCAATAAGATGTGCCAATATAGAACTGCGAATAGTTTTTCTCTGGCCCTTTATGTACCAAGTTGGCAGATGTTCACTCATTCGTTGGTTAAGTTGCCTGGTAGTACGCCCTATATAGCTATCTCCACAGGAGCAGCTAAATTTGTAAATGCAGTAGTGTCGGTTGCTAGATCAAGCCCACACAGATTATTCTAGCTTTCGGACAGACCAATTTATTCATTCGTTTTGAGACGAATCTTAACCTTGTTAATCATTCATTTATCAACCTTGACTGTTTTTATATAAGTATGTGTGTGTGCATCTCTTATATCACTCATCATATCTATAACGTATTTTTGTTTAACTATAGATATACTACTAATGAGCATATTTTAGATCATACAGAGTCTGTACTCAATACATAGTCTGACAAACATACAATTAACCTAAGGAGAAGACGGTTAGTCGATTACAGGAACTTAGATTCCAATTTCAGCTCTGTCGGTTGTAGTGTTTGCATGAATGAATGATTTCTTTGTACGCAGTTTATCTGATTTCGAATTCTAAATACAATACGTTTGTTTGTGCTCACCCAATTCTGTCTGGCTTAAATTGCGCTATTCCAGGGACTTCTAGTTCGTTTAGTAATTATAGTGCTCCTTATTACCAAATTTCTCTTCCGCGAGTCTGTTTACCTCACTCTCTTCTCTTCTCCTTCTTCTATCTTATTTCTGAATTGATGGTCGTGTAGTGACTCACTTTTATCACGCATGCTACACCCTTCTCGTTTTGATCTTCATTTTGTTTCCTGAACCCACCCCTTCGACCATCCCCGTTTGGTTCCGTCGGCTTCAGTCAACTATGGCGAAAGCTGGTCTGATCACCCACGCTCCTGTCAACGCACTCAGTTGATATTTTTGTTTCGAATGTTCGGCATTCGCTTGGTCTCGAACTTGGTCGTTAAGGTCGCTTCCGGTTCCTCGGCTCAACGTGGTTTCG